GGGGTCCCCCAGCCCCATGCCCCGTACCCTGCAGGGGGGTCCCCCAGCCCCATGCCCCGTACCCTGCAGGGGGGGCTCCCCCAGCCGGGGGTGGTCCGTGCCCAGCCCGTTGGCCGCTGCTCGGGCGCTTCGCCGCTCCTCCGTCAGCTGGGGTGGGGGACAAGGGGCACAAACCCCCCCAGTGTCACACCACGGGCACCCCCGGACCCCCGTGGTGACCCACGGCCCCATAGACATCACACCATGGCCCCCCTGGATGTCACACCACGGGGATCCCCAGGGACCCCTGGTTGTTCCGTGGGGACACCAGGGGGAGAGGGGCTCACGCTGGGGGCTGGCTGGGGGGGCCTGGGGGACCCCAGAGGTCTCACCTACCCACAGAGCCGGCGTGGGATGGGGAAGCGGGGTTTGGGGGTGTCACCTGGACATAGACGTGGTACAGGCCAGGGGAGGTCCCGGGGGGAAATGGGGGGGGGTCTCACCTGGGGACAGACCTGGTGCAGCCCAGCAGGGAGGTCCCGGGGGGGTTGGGGGGTCCCGGGGGTCTCACCTGGGCGCAGACCCGGTGCAGCCCCATGGCGATGGCGCTGGCCGGCCCCTCACAGTGGAACACGTGGCACTTCAGCACCTGCGTCAGGGGGTCCCGGGCCACGTACGCGAAGTCCCTGGGGAAGGGGGGGCGTGCTCAGGACCCCCCCGGCCCCCTCCCTACCCAGCGTGGGCTGGGCCTGGGGGCACTGGGGGGCTGGGGGCAGGTCGGGGCCGTACCTCTCCCTGCATCCCCGGCAGCACGGCAGGACAGAGCAGGGTTAGATGGGGCGGGGGAGGTATGGATCCCCCCCACAGCCCCAGGACCCCCACAATCCCCCAGAACTGGGTCTGACCCCGCTCCACACCCTTCCCTGCTGGGGGGGTTCAGTGCTGAGACCCCATGGCCCCCATCTGCCACCCACACGTGGGACTCCCCAGTCGTGTACACAAGACCCCCACACCTCATCCATACGGAACCCCCCAGCCCCCTGCCCACCTCCACACCCAGATTCCCCCATCCCTGTGCCCCACATACATGGTAACCCTCCAGCCCCACATAAGTGGGACTCCAGAGCCCCCACTCCATGCACGTGGGACCCCCAAGCCCCATGGACCCCCACACGCTCAGACCCCTCCCCACCTCTGCACCCCACATACACAGGACCCCAGACCCACATGCACCCAGCCCCCTGCAGACACCAGCCCCCCGTGCAACTGCCACCTGGCCCCGTGCCACCCCACACACGGGTCCCCTGTGCCCCCACCTGGCCCCATGCCACCCCACACCCCACACGCGGGTCCCCTGTGCCCCCACCTGCTGCCGTGCCGCCCCACACCCCACACATGGGTCCCCTGTGCCCCCACCTGCTGCCGTGCCACCCCACACACGGTACCCTGTGCCCCCACCTGCTGCCGTGCCGCCCCACGCCCCACACTCGGATGCCGCCCACGGGCTGCGCGTGCAGCAGCGCCCGGTCCCGGGGGTCCACGAGCTTCAGCGTGCGGCCCTCGAGCAGCAGCAGCGCCCGCGCCTGGGGGCACAGGGTCAGGGGCTCCCTCAGCCACCCCCGGCGCCGGGGCGGCGGTGAGGGGGGCCGGGGAGGGGTCTGGGGTCACTCACCTCCCCCCAGGTGCCGGGGGGGGCCGTCGCGGGGCCCCGAGAGCTGCCGGATGCAGGCGCTGACGGTGCCGCTGCTGCGGCCGGGCCCCAGCTCCTCCTCCCGCAGCTGCACCCAGCCCAGGGAGCGCACAGGCAGGCCCTGGGGGCAAGGGGGGTGTGGGGCTGGGCACAGAGGGGCAGGGGGCAGCGTGGGGCAGCCCCAGCCCCCAACAGAGACCCACCCCCCCTCCCCGTGTAGCCTCCAGTCCTGGGTCAGGGGGGACTCGTAGGAGGGCACGGCCGAGGCCCCTCCCATGGGGGTGACAGCCCAGGGCAGTCCTGAGGAGGGTCCCTCAGCCCCCCAACAGTGGGCCAGACCCCACAGGGGTGGGGAAGGGGCCCTGTGGGTTAGAGGATCAGGGCCCGGCCCTACCTTGGAGTTCAGCACGTCCTCCTCGCCCAGGGCCATGCTGCAAGGGGAGGTGGTCAGCAACTTCACCCAGAGACTCTGGGTGAAGACAAACCCTGGGAGCCCCCCCCAACCCCAGCCCCCAAGACCCTGGGACCCTCCCCACCCAACCACTGCTTCCTGAACCCTGGGGTCCCTCCACCCCACAACCCCTGACCCCCATACTCTGCCCCCCCACCCTACACCTAGATCTCTGCCTCCCATGACTCTGAACTCCCCACACCTGGATCCCTGTCCCCTGTGACTCTGGAACCCTCCACGCCTGGGTCCCTGCCCCCAGAGCCTGCCTCCCAGCCCACACCAGATCTCCCTCCCCCCACGCTGCTTGTGCCCTGAGGTCCCACCTCCCCCTAGGGCCCAGGCACACAGCCCTACACCCCACAGCCCCCGTGTCCCCCCAGCCCCCCCGCACCCCTCTCCTGGCGATCCTGGGCCTGGCGACGGCGTCTCTGCATCTGACGCTCCTGGTTCCTCATCTTCCTCCTCCTCCTCCTCCTCGGCCGTGGGGTCCTGGGGGGCAGGGGGGGCTCGGTGGGGCTGGGGGGGCCACTGACCCCTCCTCCCCCCTTCCCCCCACTGCCCCCCCTCACCTTCCACAAGTCTCCGTCGCCGAAGGTCTCGGCTGGGGCGAAGCTCGTCCAGGAGAGCTGGGGAGGGTGCTTTGGGTCAGGGTGCACCATGGGGCAGCCCCACAGCAGCCCACAGCCACCCCACGGGCACCCTGTGTCCCACAGCCACCCCACGGGCATCCTGTGTCCCACAGCCACCCCACCCCACCCCACAGCCGCCCCCAGTCACACCATAGGCACCCCGTGGTTGCCTCCCAGTCACCCCCCAGCACACTACGGCCACCCCACTCCTGATCCACAACCCCTGACGCCCCATGGCAACACCACAAACACCCACAGCCACCCCCAGATGCCCCACAACTGCCCCCAGTCACCCCAAGGCTGCCCCACAGCCACCCCACGGTCACCCCATGGCAGCCACATGGCCACTCTCTGGCCTCCCCCCAGCTGCCCCACAGCCACCCCGTGGCCTCCCCACGGTCACCCCACACCCATCCCATCCCTCAGCTGCCCCACAGCCACCCCCCCGGTCCCCACTCACGGCAGGCGCCTCGGTGGGGGTGCTGCCATCAGAGGGGGTCTCGTGGGGCCCCCCAGGGGGCTCCCACTGGGTGGTGCCGGTGGGGACGTGCCAGTAGTAGGTGCCCGAGGTGTCCTGCACCCGCAGCCACCCGGGGGGCAGGTCCCCGTGTGCCCCCGCGTCGCGCGGCCACAGCGACTCTGGGGGGCACGGGGGAGTCAGAGGGGTCAGCCCAGCCCCACACAGAGCCACACACAGCCCCCGTGCCCAGGGACATGGGGACCCCCAGGAGGGCTCTACAAGGACGAGGGGGCAAAGGGGGGGGGGCATGGAGCTAACTGGGGCTGGGGGGCAGCGGTGGGCGCACAGCTGGGGGTGGGGGCAGACATGGGGCTGACGGGACCATGGGGGCACGGGGGAAGGGGTGGGCAGGGGCGGCCGTGGGGCAGTCACGAGTCACCGTGGTGCCCACCTGGCTCGTCGGGGGAGCTGCCCTGGCTCAGCGTGGCCCAGCTCGAGTCTTCGTCGCTGCCGGGGCCGGGCCCCCCGAAGAGGCGGCTGGCGCTGCGCCCGGGGGGCTCCCGCGGGCCCCGCTCCGCGCCCAGGGCCGGCGGGGAGACCCCTGCCCCGTCCTCCTCCTCCTCGTCCTCCTCCTCATCTTCCTCCTCCTCCTCCTCCTCCGAGGCGCCGATCAGCAGCGCCCGGGGGTCCCCGGCGGCGTTCCGGGCGTTGCGGGCCTGGACCCCCGGCTCCAGCGCCCCCGGGGACGCCCCCGGGCCCGGCCCCGGCTCCAGCTCGTTGCGGTTCTGGTCCCGGCCGGCCTTCGCCCAGCCGCCGCCGGGCAGCTCCTCGGCCGGGGCCCCGCCGGGCCCGGTGCGGGGCTCGGGGGACAGCCCCAGGCTCAGCCCCGGGCACCGGTTGTCGTTGGCGAGGTCGCTGCGCTTGCTCAGGGCCCCCGACATGGCGAGGACACGGGGACGGGCGCGACCCCCGGCACGGCGGGACCCCCCGGCCCGGCCCGGCCGCTCCTGCCGCTGGGGGGGTCCTACAGCCCCCGGGCCGCCTCCGCGTCCATCGGGCCTGGGGGGAGCGGGGGGGGCAGCGCGGGCAGGGGACCCCGGACACGGACCCCCCGGCTCCCCCCCGCCCGGGGTCCCTCCGCTCCCGCCCCGCGGCCCGACCAGGGGAGACCCCCGAAGGCCCCGGACCCCCCGCCCGGGCCGGGCCCGCGGGGTCTCAGCGCTCCCGGCCCCCCCATCGCCCCCGCAGCGCAGCGGGGCCGGCCCGTGTCACTCCCGCGCATCCCCCCCGTTCTCTGCCGTCAATCCCCATCTCCATCCCCGTCTCCAGCCCCGTTCCCGTTCCCATCCCGGTCCCGTTCCCGGTACCTGCGGCGGCGGCTCCGCTGCCGGGGGGTCGCGGGGGGGGTCTGGGGGGGGGCTCAGGGGCTGCGTCACTTCCGCTTCCGGCCAGCGGAGAGACAGCGCCCCCTCCCGCGCCGGCACCGAGCGGGACCCCCGGGAATAGCGGGAACCTACCGGGACCATCCCGGGAATAGCGGGAACCCTCCGGGACCCCCGGGAATGCTGGGAACCCACCGGGACCCTCACCGGGACCCCCGGGACCTCCCCGGGCACTGCCGGCGGCGGGGGGCTCTGTCCGGCCCGGGGGGCGCAGCAGGAACCGGGCAGGCTGGAGAACCTGCGGCCCCCCCCGGTGCCACCCCCGGAGCCGGTGCCCCCACACCGCCCGTGTCCCCGCACTGGTACCGGGGGCCCGGGGAGTCTCGGGGCTCCAGCTCTTGACCCATCCCGGAATGGCAGCACCGGGGCGTCCCGGGGGGTCTGGCCCGGGCTGTTGGGGCAAGATGGGGACGCGGGGGGTTGCGGGATCCCTGCTCCCAGTATGGACCAGTCTGACCCAGTACAGAATCCCAGGATCACTGAGGCTGGAAAAGCCCTCCCAGCCCATGGATCCCCCCTGTGCCCCATCCCCACCTTGTCCCCCAGCCCAGAGCACTGAGTGCCACGGCCAGGCCTTCCTGGGACACCTCCAGGGCTGGGCACTCCAAACCTCCCTGGGCAGCCCCTGCCAAGGCCTCACCACCCTTTCCAGGAGGAAATTCCTCCTCCTGGCCAACCTGAGCCTCCCCTGGCACAGCTGGAGGCCGTTCCCTCTCCTCCTGTCCCTTGTTCCCTGGGAGCAGAGCCCGACCCCCCCCGGCTCCCCCCTCCTGTCAGGGGGTTGCAGAGCCAGAAGGTCCCCCCTGAGCCTCCTTTGCTCCAGGCTGAGCCCCCCCAGCTCCCTCAGCCCCTCCTGCTGCTCCAGCCCCTTCCCCAGCTCCGCTCCCTTCCCTGCACACGCTCCAGCCCCTCCGTGTCTCTCTTCCATGAGGTTCCAGACCTGGGCACAGCCCTGGAGGTCCCTCAGCAGTGCCAGCACAGGGGACAGTCCCTGCCCTGGGGCTGTGCCCACACTGGGGCTGGCACAGCCCAGGAGCCACTGGCCACCTGGGCACACCTGAGTTCATGTCCAGCCTCTGTCACCAGCACCCTCAAGGCTTTTTCCAGCTTTCCAGTCCCTCTGTCCCAATCTGGAGCATTCCAGGGGGTTGTGGTGACCCAAGGGCAGGAGCCAGCCCTGGGCCTTGTTTACCCTCACCCTGTTGGCCTCAGCCCATCAATCCAGTCTGTCCAGATCCTTCTGCAGAGCCTTCCTGCCCTCTGGCAGATCCCCACCCCACCCACTCAGTGTCATCATTGAACTCCCTGAGGATGCCCTTGATCCCCTCATCCAGGTCATCGATGAAGATGCTCAGCAGGACCAGCCCCACACTGAGCCTTGGGGAACCCCAGCAGTGCTCACCCCCCTGGATGTCTCCCCATTCCCACCCCTCCCTGTATCTGGCCATCAGCCGGGAGCTGTCCCAGCCTGGGCTGCAGGAGCTCCAGGAGAGCCAGGGGAGGTGGCTTTGCTGAGCTCCAGGCAGACACACCCACACCTGTCTCACACCCACCGGGTCACCTGGGCACAGCAGGAGATCAGGTGGGTCAGGCAGGACCTGTGTTTCCCAACCCCAGCTGGATCTGATCCCTGGTTGTCCTGTCGGTGCCATGGGATTCCCCCCAGGGTGACCCGTTCAGGGCCTTCCCAGCATCCAGGGCAGGGACAGCCTGGACTTCCCTGGATCCTCCTCCCGGCCCTGCTCGGGGAGGGGGTCACTGGGCACCTCCAGGGCCTGGGTCCCCCCGGGGGGGTCAGGGGCTGTGAGGAATGATGGGGAGGGTCCAGGAGAGCTCTGTTGCTGTCTGGTTCCCCCTGGGGGGCTGAGCGGGAGGGGGGTGGTGGGAACGGCTCCGGGACCCCCCCACAGCCCCCATGGTGGCCCCGGGGGTCCATTGGCCCCAGGGACCTGTGGGGTCTGAGTGGCTCAGCAGGTCACTGACCCAGTCCCTGCTCCCAGTACAGACCAGTCTGACCCAGTATGAACCAGCATGACCCAGTCTCCACTCCACTATAGCCCAGTTTGGCGCAGTACAGATGAGTATGATCCAGTATAAATACAGATCTGTCCAACCCAGTCCCCGCCCCCAGTATAGACCAGTCCAAGCCAGTCCCTGCTGCCAGTATGGACCAGTCTGACCGATACAGACCAGCCCATCCTGTCCCCATTCCCAGCTGAGACCAGCCCATCCTGTCCCCACTCCCAGTGTGTCCCAGCCCATCCCTGTCCCTGCAGAAGGGTCAGTGCTGGCACAACGCCCAGGCCGGGCAGCGCCCGTGGTGCCACCGAGCTCCAGGCACTGTCCCTGTCCCTGCTCGGCCTGGCACGGCCGGGGGGGCCCGAGGACACGGGGGGCAGCAGTGCCGGGGGCAGGGTGTGTGCAGGGCAGGCAGGGCTGTGGGGCAGCAGGGGCCAGGGTACTTCCAGAATACTTTATTTTGTACATACAGTTTGTCAGCGTGCGGTGGCCGACCCCCAGGCCCCCGAGCCCCCCGGAGCCGTGGGGCAGCAGTGCCGTGGGGCAGCAGTGCCGTGGGGAGGCAGGCACATCCCGTCACCCCACGGCCGGGGCTTGGGGCCGGGGGGCAGCCCCTGTAGGGCTCCAGGACTGACTGCCCCCCAGCCCCCCCCAGCCCTGCCCGTGGCTCCCCCTGCCCCACACACCCCCCCGCACCTTGGGGACCCTCATCAGCCGGGGCACCGGGGCTCCGGGAGGAGGGGTCAGATTGTGACCCGCAGGCAGCCCCCGCCCCGTGGGACCCGTCCTGGTCCCCCCGGCCCGGCCGCCCCCCAGGATAAAGTGCACATGAAGCCGGGGCGGCGCGGGGGCAGCCGTCCGTGGGGGCACCGCGGGCCCGTCCCGCCGTGGCATCCCCGTGGCATCCCCGCGCTCCGGCGTCACTGCAGGTAGCGATAGGCCTTGAAGCAGTGGTTGCCCGAGTCAGCCACGACCACGTGGCCGTCGGAGGTGAGCGCCAGCCCCTGCGGGCCGTACAGCGGGTCGGCCGCCGTGTTGATGTAGGACAGGAACGAGCCCGCGCTGTCAAACACCTGCGGGGGGACACGGCTGTCCCTGACGGCCCCACGGCCCAGGGACCCCCTGCCCTGATGGCCCCTGACGGCCCCACAGCCCAGGGACCCCCTGCCCCGATGGCCCCCGACAGCCCCACAGCCCAGGGACCCCCAGTCCCTATGGCTCCCAACAGCCCCATGGCCCAGGGACCCCCTGCCCCGATGGCCCCTGACAGCCCCATGGCACAGGGACCCCCAGTCCCTATGGCTCCCAACAGTCCCACAGCCCAAGGACCCCCAGTCCCTATGGCCCCTGGACCTGCACGGGGTCTGCAGGACCCACTCCCTGTGATCAAGTCTCCCCAGGTCCATCCCTGTTGACACAAGATCCTTCCCAGTTGCTCCCAGTTAACCCTAAACCCCTCCCCAGTCCATCCCATTTGCTCCCAGGTGACCCCAGACTCCTCCCCAGGCCATCCCAGTTGCTTCCAGTTGGCCCAAAACTCGTCCCAGTTCCTCCCTAGACCCCCCCATAGACTCTTACCAGTTGACCCGAGACCCATCCCAGTTGCTTTCAGTTGACCCCAGTTGGCTCCACACTCTTCCCACTTGACCCAGTTGCTCCCAGTTAATACCACTTGCCTCCCAGTGCCCTCTAGGTGCCCCATAGCACCTTCCCAGTGCCTCCCAGGGCATCCCATCAAGAACACCTGGGGTCGGGGGGTCAGGGATTGGATGGAGAGGGATCGGGGAGGGGCTGGTTCTGGGCCCCCTGGGGCTGCCCTGGGGGTGTGTGTACAGGTACAGGGATGTGTGCAGGTACAGGTGTGTGTGCAGGTCCAGCTGTGCAGGTCCAGGTGTGTATGCGGGTCCAGGTGTGTGTGCGGGTACAGGTGTGTGTGCAGGTCCAGGTGTGTGTGCAGGTCCAGGTG